TCTACAGGGTCCCTTCCAGCTCTGCAGGTGTCAGATGCTGCTGCGAGTGGTGGTTAGATATTCATTACTGTAGAATAGAATAGGAACATCATTTGCCTTAGCCATATGCCCTTACAGGTAGCAACGTCTCCTGGTTAATAGGCTCAGATGCCCCTCCTTAGCAGCCAGGCCCTCAACAAAGGGCAGGAGAGCCAGAATTAACCTGCCTTGTTGCAACAAATCTCAAAGCAATTCTCCCAATTCAGTACAATAAAGATACAAAATCTGCAATAATATTGTTGGGAATAAACATACAGAAATAGCGATTCCGTTATTCATATTATTATATTGAGTAAAAATTTCACAATCACGATAACTGTAACACACAAGGACAATAAATTAAAAAACTACAGTAGTATTGTTAACAATACATTTCTATGAACACTGTCTTAGTAACTGTTCAGAAAATAATTGCTGGAATACAGTAGTAAGTCACAACTAGAGTATCCATTCAACCTGTGGAACTTATGGAGGAGCTGACTGACTAAAGAACAAAGAATCTTGTGGTACCCTGAAGACTACACATTTTATTGGTGCATACACGTCCATGGAATACAGCCCATGTAATCTGTCACATGTTCCTTTGCTGCATTCTGATTCCCCCTTTTAAAGCATTTCCCCTCAAGCTTTTTCTCTTTGGGGAAGAGGAAATTTGTGGAAGGACACATGATCTTGCAGATTCCAGTAAATTCCAGCCATTGACTTGTCTAGTTTTCCATTTCAGAACAACACAAAGATTTTTCCTTGTTATCTGTGCAAACCATGTACGCTACAGATGACATGGCGAATTGCAATAGACCCATGGCTGATAACAAGACCGGACTCCTTTTGTCACTTAGGTTCACAGCATCAAGAGCTTGAACTGGTCTGGCTGTAATTAAAACAGTAATGTCTCCAAGTCAGAAATGGCGTTTGTCGGGCTCATTCATCTTTACTAAGTGATCTGTCCTTTTCCTTCCACAGGTTGTGCGCCATGGCATCCCCTGAAGAAAAACCGCATGCCTTAGTCAAGGCTGTGGAGACTCTCAGCAAAGGACAAGATGTACGCAAGGAAACAACACTCCTCATGAAACCTTACGCCAACTGGGAAGAGTTCCTCATGCCGGCCCCCATCTCCATTGCGATCCTCGGGGAGCTGATCTTCATTTCAACAGGACAGGGAGACTTCTCCATCAACACGCTGCCACCCGAGGGAGGCTTCCAGCACCTCAAGTATCCGGAATCCTTCAAGGCTTCTTTGTGCCAAGTGAGCAATCGAGGTTGGACGGCCTTCAACGAAGCCCATGTCAACATGGACCAGATCAGGTTGCTGGCAAACGGCATCCCGGAGCAGATGAAAACAATCGTGCGGACTCTGGTCCAGGAGGCGGAGGTGGTGGCAGCCTTGATTCCAAACCAGCTAAAAAACCTGCAGGCGGTGACTGAGCAGTGTGGTGGCCTGGCCAAGGCAGTGAGAGCCAAGTTCACTGATGTGATCAACCTCATCCAGGAACTCCTCGAAGCTTGCCTCAATGCCAAGCAGGGCTACGAAAAGCAGCTGGAGGACGTACACGTGGCTCTCGAACAAGCCAAAATCCGAGAAAAGTCCGCCAAGGAGGCTAAAGAAATGGCCGAACGCTACCACCACCAGATGAAGGAGCAAGTCGAGGAGTCCTTCCAGCAGTACAAAGAAGCCATGGCATCCATCCCCACAGGGTGGGACGCAGTGGGAATGGAGCTGGTCACCACCCTTACTCAAACGCTAGGCACGTTTTCTGTGGAGTTTACTCGAATACTAGCAGGAAAGCAAGGGAGCGTGGGAGAAGCAAGCAGTGTAAACTGCAGCAGCGAAGGACTGGCAGGGATGACTCCGTTCATTTCCGCTAGCGTCATCTGTTCAAAGTCAGCCGAACTGCTAACTTTTGCCACCAGCTTGAAGAACCTCTTAGACGAAAATGGAGGCCTCAAGGCCTCCATGATTCTTGATGAGAGGAGTGGAGAGGTCAAAACGGAGTGGGTGAAGAAGAACTTACAGAGACTAAGAGGCTGCATCGAGAAAGAAGAAGGGTGTGACCCTAAAATAAGAGCTCAAGAGATCTGTCAAGCTGGATTGGATATCTGCCAGGAGCTGGAAAAGCTGGCCTCATCGGTGGGTGGCCTTGGCAAGGTGGGGAAGAGCTTGTTAGATGGGATCCGTCAGCTCCATAAGAAGGCCTCAGAGTTCGACTCTTACAGCAAAACCTACACTCGGTCTCCTGCCTTCTCTCCCAAGCCACCCAACGTGTCGAAGATGGGAGAAACGACAGGATCAGGTTTGGAAAATGCCCATCTGAAGGTGAAGCAGAGCCGAGAGTCGCTGAAGGCCACCAGAGAGGAGTATCAGAGAAGCTTTGAGAACTTCAAGAAACAGAACGAGGAGCTGACAGAGATCCTCTGCACCATGAGAGGTTATCAGGTCAAGGAGGTGGATTTCGACACGGCCAGGAAAATGCTCATCAAGGGCCTTGAAGCTCTCGGGCGAGTGAAGGAGCAATGGGAAAAGATGGTGAGGTTTTTCCAAATGATCTCCAACTTAATCGAATCTTGCTTGGTCTGGAGCGTGAAAGAATTTGTGGACACGGTTGACGGTGCTCAGAAGATCTCCAGCTATTCATCCAAAGCCTTCACCGCTGATCTCGTTTATGGACATGTTTTCAATGCCACCAGCATGGCCCAGCTGGTGGCCATGATCTCTGAGACATATACTTTGGTGTCCCAGAAGTACCTGATGGAGCGTGTGAGCAGCTTAGGTCGCCTCCTGGCTATGGAAGCCAACCAACCCAGCTTGGCTGCTGAACGCGCTGCCTTGGCTGAAGGCTGCGACGCAGCTCGGGAAGCGGTGAGGGAGCTGGTTCTGGAGAAGAAGGCAGAGTTTGAGCGAGGATTGGAGGCCAGAGTAGAGGCCATTGAAAAGGAGATGAGAGCAGTGCTGCCTGCAGAGGGAGAGACCCCTCAGCCGCACCTGAGAGAGCTCAGCCCGGAGGAGGAAAGCAAGTTTATATAAGAAATGAAGAAAAGGGCTCAGGAGCATAAGTGCCTTCTGTAAAGGTAGAAGAAAGAGAGGGGGGTTGTGAAAAGCTCCTTTTTTTGACCTGCACCTTCCAGAATCCCATGTTCTCTGAGGATCTGGAGATACATAATCCAAAATGTAACTTTTCCAGTTTCTGGGGAAGTGGCATGATAAAGCTAAGGGAATATTTACAATTAATTGATTGTCCAAGGGTTAAATTACCGTACCATGTTGCAAACATCTAACACAATGACGTTCAGCCTACTTGTTAGTTAAGACAACAAGGAACATACAGTGTAAAGGATAATCGTACCCTGTTTCCCCTAAAATAAGACCTAACCTGGAAATAAGCCCTAGTATGATTTTGCAGGATGCTCGTAATATAAGCCCTACCCCAAAAATAAGCCCTAGTTAAGTGAAAACAGAAGCAGCAACCAGAAGATGGCATGACTGTATTTGAACAAACGTAGATTGTTGTACATGAAAAAAAAATCCTCTGAAAATAAGCCCTAATGTATTTTTGGAGCAAAAATTAATATAAGACTCTGTCTTATTTTTGGGGAAACAGGGTATGAACTGTGAGATTACCTTTAATTCTGTATAGGTTAGGTTAGACTGAGAACTGCGTGTTCCACTGCTGCTATCTAGTGGAGAAAATAGGGATTGTCCTTGGTGTGTATTGTTGAGAATAAACCATGTAGTATTAGAATTTGGCAGAATACTGTAGTAGATTTTGTAGTTTTGTGTCATGTTTTCACAATAGTGTAGTGAACAGATTGTAAATATGAAACCACTGCTTATGATAAAGCTTGGTTTTACATTTATATGCCCTGTTATAACCACTCTCCAGCTCTTCCAATATATTTGGCATTTCCAGTGCAGACATCGCTAGCAAAATTGACCTCCAACAGCTCCTAAGAGGAATTCTATTGTGTTGTGTGTATAAATTAATTCCAATGGCATGGCTTCTGGCAGCAAATTGCTGCTCATTCTAAGAAGTCAGCATTTGTATTTATTGTCTTGTGCCACGTCACTTGACCAGTAGGCAACAGGAAATACAATCACCAACTTCTTCACCAAAAGCAATTTTCTGCTGAGGTTTATGTAGTTGGACTTATGCTGGAGGACATGATTCTGTCCATTATTTGAAGCAGAGAAACATCAAACACTGCAATTCTTAGGTACTTTTTTTTTAACCATGCATCTTGTGAATTTTTAAGTCATAGAAGTAGTTGCTCAAAACTTCCGTGCTTCTCGTAGGTTAGAAGTTACAAAGCTCACCCAATACAACCCATTTATGCTGGAGGACATGATTCTGTCCATTATTTGAAGCAGAGAAACATCAAACACTGCAGTTCTTAGGTACTTTTTTAAAACCATGCATCTTGTGAATTTTTAAGTCGTAGAAGTAGTTGCTCAAAACTTCCGTGTTTCTCGTAGGTTAGAAGTTACACAGCTCACCCAAGACAGCTACTCACATGTATGTTTTAGTTGCCAATTCTTTGAAATATTACTGCTCGGCTTCTTTAAGGGAAGGAAAATAGTCTGTACATAACAGCAAGTTAGGATGTCTTCCAGAGAAAATGCTGTCAAGGGTCATGAGGACAGAAACTGGATTCCCTTTAGTTCCATGTGCAGATGTCCCATATCATCACCACAGCTGGGACCATCTTCATGGAAATCAAATATTCACTGGTCTTCTCCACCCACACTGGAGCTTCACTTTGCTTGGTCAGTAAAGGCATTAAAAGCTGGAGTTTAATTTCCCTTGTATCTTCTGAAAAAAATAAGGCAGCTTTGGGCCAGTTCCGTGGTCCTACAGCACCACGGAGAAAGTGGAGGAGGGACTGGTAAAATCCCTTTTGATTTCTATAGGTACAGAAAACCCTGGGAAGGGTTGCCATAACTTTGGATTGACTTGAAGCACGTCGGCCCAAATCGTCTTGCCCTGGCCATAGCACAAGGAGCATAACTTTTGGAGGCGGGTTGCTCCAAGTTCATAACTCATCTTAGACATTATACTGAGTTGCATGATGTGGAACACAACAGGCAATGTCGACATCGGCCTCTTAACTTGGGGTAATTTGCCTCCAAAAATTATGTCATTTGTGCAACTATGCATGAGAAATTGGGCCATGATTGGCCATTAATTCATGATGATGTTCATTATAGAAAAACTAGTTGGTTCGTTACAGAAAAATAAGATAGACTGCACTATCCTTCTAAAGCAGGCTCTGAATAAGATACATAGGTCAGTAAAACCATGGTCCTTGCTGAAGAATGAGATGGATGCTACATGAGAGGCAATCATCCTGACTATCCCGCCTTCCCTTATGGATGCAAGATATCAGAAGACTATTATCTCACTCACTATTGCCTGTTTATCATACCATGAAATTTATACCATCTTCTTCAAACAGCATTCCACTGCATTGTACAAAGGACAAATGGAACTATCACTTTGTAAAGGAATAAATGGACACAAATCAGATTACAGAAAATTCCAATATCCCAGGACACTCTATTGTGGAGCTCAAAGAAAGAAAAATGAATGTACTAGAGCAGATTGGAGACTAAGACAGGAGGGGAATGTATCTCTAAGGGGTTAAATAAAGATCAAGGCTTCTTAGTGCAGTGCATAAATCAATAAACCAATTTATGTAGTATCCTATGTGTATAAAATACTTGTCTTGCTTGACATACTCTCCCCTAGAAATGTCTCTGAATACTGTAATCCTGTTACAGCCAGATCTACCTAGTGGACAACTAATCACAACGCAGAGGGAACTGCTACATCCACTGGTGGCAAAAATACGAATGGGAGACTGAGACTCAAGATGTATAAAAAATGTTAGCTCAGGCTCAACGCGTTTTGGCGGTTGCTTTCTTCAGGTGATAAGTACTATATATATATAAATTTAGAAACAGCTGGTTTGGGACAGTTATGGCTCTTTTTTCTTGTCTACACAATGAACAATATAAAATATTAATAAATATGCAAATAACAAGATACATAAACTCCAATACAGCTTAATGGCAGCATAGAAGGTACATATCAATGTTTATTTTATTTTATTTAGTTAGTTATTTATTTAATTTATCCCCCGCCTATCTGGACTACCAGACCACTCTAGGCGGCTTCCAAAACAAAATCAAACAATAAAACACAGACAAGAACATGATTATTCAGTAACAGCTACAATGAAATAAAGAATAGGGAAAAGTAAGAAGAAAAATCAAGAGTTGGCTGGAGGGAAGGCCTGGATGAACAACCATGTTTTTAATTGGGTTTAATGTTGGAGCGGGTAGAGACCAAAAGAGAAGCAGAAGTTCTAAAA